AGTGGGTTCCTCGTCATCGAATTCTGAATGTATGTTTCTATGTGCACTTTGGGTTGTGATGGACATATGTGTTGATGTAGCTTGGTTTGGTAAAACTTAGTATTTTTATGCATACTGCAAAGGCATATCATTCTTATAATTTATGAACTAGGTCAAATGTTAAATATTTAATCAGAAAGTCATTTAATGACCTGCCAATATCACAACCCTGACCTCAAAATTATTGGTAGTGCCCACTGGTACTATAACTAATGAGAAGGCAGTGCTGAACACATTTTTTGTTTTCGTTTTCTCAACAACTTGAACAAGGAATTAATTTTTTCCAGTGGCTTTTAATAGATCTAGTGGAGTAATTAAAAGTATCTAGTTTCCGATATCCAAATATATATATATATATATATATATACAACATGGATACATAATACGACAACCATAACAACTCATTCTGCAGAATACGTTCGTTCCGTTTTTGAAATAATTTAACTCCTTTTAAATTTAGAAACCATTAATTCATTGTAAAAAAAATAAAAAATACTAACTAATACTGCCGGTTTTCAAAATGACAGGAGATTTATCGTTAAAACATTCTACCAATTTAACTGGCATCATTAGTGTTCATTACATTTAGCAATTTTGCCGAAGTTACTTGTTGATTAAAAATATATTACGTTAGTCAACATATGTTCCTACTTACGTTTTCTTCGTAACTAAGACAATAACACGTAGGAATTAATAACCGTAAATTATGCTACATGCCCTCTATCGAAATACAAAATAATATTATTATCGACATAAAATTATACAACTTCAGTGAAATACATGTTATAATTATACTATTATAGATTAATAGTAACACAAATATATGATAATATAGTTGGAACTTTTGAATGTAACTTTTCACAGGTATAATAATAATAATGTGAATGGAAATCAATTTTAAAGGACTAAAATTAAAAGAACCAACGATATGTATTGATATTGTTATTTTAAAAAATGGATATAGAGTGTTTTTTTTTAATTAACATTTTGTAGGAAAAACGATATTCATTTAAATGATTAAGACACACAAATATCATGCTTTATCATAACCAAAAACATGAATCTACTAGGGACGACAGGCATGTACGGCCTACAACTACAACAAAAACGTTGTCTAAAACTATCACCAGGAGTATATATAAATTATTGCCATAAATTGTGAATAATCTTCTCTATTACTTGTTTGTCTAAGATTTTTTGCCCAAAGCAAAACAAAGAGCTACCTACGAATAGCTGTCCCTAATTTTGAAATGATATACTATAAAAGATTGTTAGGTAGCCTTTTCTAATTTTTGGGCTACTCTAGTCTTGTTTGACCAAGTAATCGGAGATGAACACGTTTTTTTATTAAAGCAACAGATACTGAGATAGTCCATGGGGTGCCTTTGTACTTAACTACAATTAAACAAAACAATTATTTTGGACATCAGTAATACGAAAATATCTTTCTCACTAGTATTAAAATTTCAAAAAAATGCAAAATAGATTTGAAACAAGTTTCTGCAGGTTTCCGAAGCAGTATTAATTTTGATGAAAACAATATCTAAGTCTCGAACACACATACATTGTTAGTATTTGGAAAAGTAAAAGAGCAAAAATTTACCAAAGCAACGTTTAATTGACGTTCGTACGGTATTGTTGTTATATGTATGATAGGTTTCCATTTCTTCACCAAGGAGAAAATTGAAATTATTATCAGTGACGTAGAAGCCTATTGCATTTTTTGGTTGGTTTTATCCTCTGCTGTAGATTTCAATTTTGCCTGTTCAACTTGCAAAACCAAAGAAACAGTTAGGACTCTTACAATGGTGATCCGAATATAAGATATATTGGGAATTTCAAGTCATTTTCAATTCACTAGAACTAGATAGAAACAATATATATATATTTTTTAATGTGAATAATAATATGGCGTCACGGCTAATTTATTATTCGATATTATACAGCGTACCAACTAATTATCGATTTGATGTATACTCCATTTCTTTCCTTTATCACCAAAAGTAAAATTGAAATATCATCTGTATTATTACACGATTTATTATATATTCATTTAGAAATAAATAATTAGTTATCGGCTGAACTCATTACCAGGTTACTGACCACTCCAGCTGTGTTGGCTTTAGAAAAAACTATAAAAAAAAAAGCTTTTACGGTATTTAAAAGGCCAAATAAACAAGTACCCTAGTGGCTAATCGTTAAACACCGGGATTCGATGCTCGTGGTGGGCTCAACACAGATAGCACATAACTTATTGTTACGTCTCTGTTCGTTAATTAATTTCCTTATAATTTCTTTCCGAAGAAATTTTAGCGATACAAGTCCTTTCTTAAATAAAACTGGTTTATTCTTTCTAAATAGAACTTTGCAATACACTTAATTTCCACAGTCACGCTATAATTCACAACGAACGACTCACGTGCTCGACTCAATCGTCAATCTCTGTCTGCAGTTCAATTACATTGTTGCCGTCACTTCTTGGCCGTCTTATATACAAGAATACCGTACATCTAGTAAACACTCGAGGTTTCAGGAACCTTCGAGAATATGACGTGTTACCAGCGTCACGTAACCCCCGCTGTTGTAACACTGCCCCTTCCTTAGTATTGTTCGTCCCAAACAATAGCCACTTACATTAAACCAATAAACAATTAACAATAACTTAATTAAATGTACAAAATTTACAAACACAAAATTAAAATTCAACAAAGTCTCTTAATTTTACGGGACGTATCATCTTCCGTACTGGTCTTCGTCTCGTTGGCTTCTGCTTCATGGGGGGTTCATCTGCTTCATCAGGAAATGTCCTATCATCGGTAACAGTCACATCAGTGG